AATACTTTATAATATTTCTAATTGTTTTGACGAAATTTTGAAATATTTTATGTTCAAAATAAAAAGAACCATATAGCAATAATGTGAGGCATATTAGAATATCCGAATAAATCCGAAAAAAAGAAAATATACAGGCTATGGAAATTCCACCAGGAAATCAAAAGGCGAAACGTCGTATTGTAAAGAACTAAAGTGCTCATTACTAAGGAATCATAATTGACTTATTATTTTCAGTCGATGACTCAATGACATCACAGTTATAAATGTATTATGACGCCTAGTTGTCTACTCACATTGTACTGGCAACAACTTGGAAACCTATTTGTGAAGTAGACATTTTTATTCTCACAAATACAAAAATTTGTCGACACAGGCGGGGCTCAAACCGACATCCGCAGCGTTCCGTGCTGCTGCTCCAACCAATTGAGCTAGTGCTTGTGTTGTAATTTTTTTATAATCTAAGCAGAGAATAGAATAAAAGAAGTGGAAATGAAATACTGTCTGTACGCAAGTAGTATACATTTAAATAAAACACTTAAACGAATCTCCCCGTGACCACGGCTGTAGCAAAGCATCCGAAACGTCGGGCCGTAGTTAAAAATAACTTTCAAACAAGTTTAACTAAAATGTATCGCGTTTTAAACCGTTAAAGTGTTTTATTTAAAAGTGGAAATGGCTGATCAGCAAAGGGATCTAGGAAAACTTAACGATACAATTTCTGATGTAAATGTATATAATATAAAAATAAGTTACAAGATTTAAAGCCTTCTTTTATAAATTCAAAGCATAGTATGAATACGCATCTAAATTGATTATAGTAAAAGCAAACAATGATATTGAATGTTACCGTAACATGGAAGGAACAGTTATCAGTTATTGATTTACCATATCATTACTGGGAATAAGTATATTTGTACTGTGATCTGGTTTATCATATAGACTTATAGGATAGCACGTGGGAATCTATTGTGGTGTTCTTCTCTTGGCTTTCTTTTATTCGTATATAAGTCGAATGGTTTCCACGCCATCGTTCGCAAGCGTGAAGCTATGTACTAAGTTCAAATCATCAATGGCATTCTGAATGCACTGTACGACAAGTACACTCATATTATATGTAACAATGTTAACGATGATATGACATTCAATCTTCCCCTTAGTGTCTTCTGTATTTTATTATATTTACTTTTTGTACATCAAAATGTTACTAATCATTCTAACACTCATTAAATTTAACAATACATCGAATCTAATTAATAACTTACTAACTAGTCTGCTTGTTGGCCCAATTGTAGCAATGTATGTCTAGTAATCGTCGAATTATGGTGTCGAATGTCAAAGGCAAGTAGGACTTTGTCTAAAAAAACTAGATATTGAATAGTTAGTAGGAATACCGCAATTTTGAAGCCACTAATCACTGTTCTCACACGGAGAAGGGCTAAAGTCTGAGCATTTCTGATTATTCAAAGAAATATTAAAATAAATGGACGCTTCTTAAGATGTTATATGGCTGGAGTTCTTTACCATTCACCAAAGTAACCCACATACCTAACCACATAAAAAACAATTTTGAACATATTATCATTAACAAACACGCTTTAGTATTTTGATTGTGACCAATTATGTTCGTTTTCATCACTAGTGAAACAAAAAAATCACAAAATAATTAAAAATGCATCATCTGGTTGTAACTTTACCTAAACTAAAATTCAAAGTCAGAAACCCTATATTTCCCCTTGTAGACCAAGTTCCAAGTGCACTTAAAATAGTTTTCATTTTACGGAAGTGCTTATAAGAAAATTGGTTCACAAACTTCCTCTACCTGACTGCAAGCGTAATATATTCCATATCTATTATACTGTTATGGACAGCTCCTTGAACGGTTTCCAAATAAATTCTATTACATGTACCGACTTTATGAGCATATAAATTGTATGTTATATTTTAAATATGTCAATTTAATGTTGCTTTAAGCTTTAGCTGATTTTGACTTTGGCGTTAGGGACACACATCTTCAGTTTCCCCGTGACCACGGCTGCTGCAAAACAACGTCGGGCCGTAGTTTAAAATAAATTGTAAATTAGTTAAACTAATACATTTCGCTTACTAAATCGTTAGTTCTTTTATTTTAATAGTGTTATGTCATTGAAATATATTTACTTAACTATTGTCTGTTTACGCGAGCAGTACACCATCAAATAACGCATATAAACGCTTTCAACGGTTCAACAAGCGAAATATATCACTTTGTAGGTAACTAATATATTACGTGTTTAAAATCGTTGTGTTTTATTTTAAAGTATATTTACTTGCACAGTGTTTTATATGAACAATGTAATACCTTCTTGAATCTTGGAGCTGTTCTGTTATGGTAATTGAAAATTTGTTTTTGACGGCTCAGCATTACGAGTGGATGTCATTCAACAATTCAAATACGATGATCTAACAGCTCTAAAAACCCAAGATTTTTTTATAAATAGGCCGCAATAAGGTGCAAATATTTTTAAATTCTGTTTTTTTCTTTATCAATGTTGTTATTATTTTAAATTTGTATATACCAACAACAGTCCAGAATTTGTGTGTACTTTGATTATAATTTTTGAGTGACAGAGTTGATACTAGTAGCATAAACGGTTTAGCGACATTGTTACGCAGACATATATTTTTGCTTATCTCACAGAATAACTTCGCACCGAAGATATTTTACAGTGCCGATATCTAAGATAAGCTCCCCTTCGTATATTTCTTCGATATATTCATGACGGCGCATAAATTCCGTTGTAAAAGAACTGAGCTCTGTGTCATTCTTGTAGTTTCCTGTCTCATTTTGCGAAGATTTTAAAGGCTCAAACTTTGTCTCTTTTGAAGCAGAGGAGGAGATACAAGCATGGAATAATAGCATAAGAATTTACATTCCACGGCTTTTTCATGTGTGGACGGTAGTTCGCGACCCGGACAGAATTATGATTCCTTCGATATTAAAGATCTTCACGTCGAGTGGAACATTTTTCAAAGAAATTATAAATTGATTTTTAACATGTTGGACTAAGTGGGAGTCGAACCCCTGACCTACACATTTTTAGTCATACAACGCTACACTTTAGACCTACATATATTGGACCGTCGGAGCTAGCAAGAAGTATGGCTTACGATCTTCCTATATGTAATTGTTTAATGAAGAATCGTTTATTTTCTCTAAACATTGCCCGTAAGCATTTTATAATAAAGTTTCACTTTTGTTATAAAACAATAGCGCACACGCACAAGTTATTAAATGATAATTCTTATTGAATTTTTATTTATACCTTTGTTGTGCAATCTTATTCATGTACTTTTTACTCTACAGCAGCGATGTTATAAATTTTTAAAATAAAAAACTTAATTGTATTATGTAGCTAACGTATTTAATTACGGTTCGATGTACGTTACGTATACGTATACGTTTAGGATGTTTTGCAGCCGTCACGGTTACGGGGGACAGAACATGTAGCGTGTCCCTAATGTCAAAGTCAAATCTGATACACTAGCGCCATCTGTTCGTTATAGCAGCGTCAAAAGGGTTTTCAGTAAATCTATGTTTAACTATGTGCTAGAAATATCGATTACGATGAACGATGACACGATTTGTAAAAAATGTGTGAGTAAATAATAAACAGTGTTTACTATAACAGAGAGGGCCAGGTACAAAAATGTCTAATATAAGAAAGAAATATATAAACTATATTTTGATTCAATTAGCTTATAATGATTATATTTGTAAGATTAATAACAGAGTTTAATTTATTTGTCACCGGTTTATGGGTTTAAACTTAACTATGCATAAGTCAATAAATTTACACTTTATTCAAGACGAGAAAGGCTTACTATCATCTAAAGACAAGCTTAGCAGTCCCTGTCGCTGTTATGTTTATGTGTATGTATTCAGTCTTAATCCGGCTCGGCTCAGACGTACTTATTCGAAAAACGAATATTCCATTTATGAAATCGTCTTATTGTCACTGTAAAATATCTTACATGGAATAACTTGTATTTGTTTAGTCTGTACGTTTTTTGTTGTGAAGTAAGTGTAATAGATTTCAGGTTGAAGAACCGCCAGGATTTGAACCGGCATCCACTGCGTTCTGTTGCTTTAACCAATTGAGTTACCGTGTCCTACAAGTGACCGTCGAATTTTTACAATCCATTGATACATGCACCTCTCGCTAACGTGTACCCATTTAAAAAAACAGTACAGTGATTTAAGCAATAGACCATATAATATAGGCAATATAGGCATTTTAGTTTATACACACACACACAGTCTGACAAAATCCGTCCATATTAGTTACGCTGTAGTCGGGAAACAAACATTTGCTTTGAACTACACATGAGTAAATATTTATCATTCTTGATTACTATTTAGAAGTCATCGCAAATATCTTAGCCACCTAATGATGTTTTGTAAATACCCACCCAGCTACCTACCGCTACAATAACACTTATCACTAATGACAGCAAATATTAGAAGAGAGAAATTACTAGTGATAGAACAAATGTGGTTTAATCGAAACCAAATTTTAGGTGATTCAAATTAAATGTGCGGATCCGTTTGATTTCGCGAAAAGCGGATAAAACCGACATCAGTCCCTCAATAAACATAAGATCAAACTGCTATTTTGACGGTTTAAAACGCGAAATAACTTATTATATTATTTTCATTGTTTACTATTATATATTCATATATTTCGCGTTTTAAACTGTTAAAGTTGTTTTATTGAAATGTGTTAGTCGCGTACAGAAAGTACTTCAGATATCACTGTGCGAGAAATACAATCGTGTCGTATTTGTTAAGCAACAATACTATCAATGGAATTAAAAAAAGAGTATCGAAATTATATCCTGGAATTTCAATTCAGGTTCTTATAACAAACGCCGTGGTTTTTAGTGTCTGTATATTGTGTCTAATGTCTGTTTCTACTACTGTTAATAAACTAATGATTAATCAAACTTTTCGTTTGTTACAGGTATTTTTTTCATACGACTGCGATGAATATCATGAACGCTTGGTAAGACTATAAAGTATAAATCAGAATATCTTATAGTCCACATACAAGGAGCTTGTTGTTGTACCTCACTGTCATCGAGATGAAATTCTGCGAGAATTCGTAACTAATATCAGACATCTTTAATATATAAAAACTTAAGCGCTCTTGAAAATAGGACTATTATTTAAAATAAAACACATTCACTATACTAAAGCTGAAGAGTTTGTTTGTTCGTTTAAACGCGCTAATCTCAGGAACTACTGATTCGAATTAAAAAAATATTTTTGTGTTGGTTAGAGTATTTATCGAGGAATTCTATAGGCCAAGATGGCGCTGTGACTAATAGGAGCGAAGAAACAGCGGGAAATGTTCGGAAAAAACGGGGTAAATTATTCAACTTTGTGGGTTTCCGATGCGTACACTGCGAAAACGGTTCAAGATAGCGAAAAATTTTGTTGTAGAAGAATGATTTAAATGCTCTAAAAGAATGTCCGCGACAGTATGTCTATCTTTTATGTCAGAGAAATAATAGAATTTATAACGCGTTCGTATGAAAGCTTTTGTTTGACAACGTAACCGCTGTTTTGTAGACTCGCAAATTTTTCTGTTTGTGTTCTCTTCATTTAGCCTTCGCCCCGCACTGCATTTTTTATTTGAGCTGAAAACGCGCTTTTATTCATACTACAATATTATCTTGGCTCTATACTTAAAAATTTCGTATTCAGCCGTACCGAATTTTGTAATACTTGTTGTAATTATTTTAGATGTCACATGTATTGCGGAGATTTTATATATAAATTTAATTGTTTAAGACATTCTATTATCACTACGCAAGTCTTGTGGCATTTTCTTTTGCTTCTTATTGTTAATCATTTTATATAATTCAGAATCTAAAAGCTACTAAGCTGTTTTAAAATTACCTGTTTTTTTATTGTTGTGAAGTCAAAAGATATGTGTGTAGTATCATGCTATTTATTAGTATAGAATATAGATGCACTAGGTACCATTTGAATCAATAAAACGGTCTACCATCGTCTGAGACCGTAACGTGTGAAATGGGATGAAAAAATATTCATTTATTGCAATTTTATAGAACGCTGCGTCCAATAAAATTTAACGGCTGAAAAAAACGTACATTTTCTTTAGTTTATTGTGTATATGTATGAGTATGTATGCAGATCTTTAGTACGTTTGAGAATTTAATATTAACGATCAACATCCTTTTTACTTTTATCTGTAATTACGCGTTTTATCAGTCAATCGTAATTATTTTTTTATCACTTTACATGAAATATATGTTATTAGTGGTAACGAAAACTTTCCAAAATGTCAACGTGAATCTAAATGTGTGTTTATTCAAATAACTAGGTATACATTTGATTTATTTTTAAATTTTACTTCTTCTTTTTCAATTATTAATTAAGGTCATATACTTAATCTCAAATAATGCAACTTTATTTACTAACCCAAGCGCTTAGTTAAAGAAAAATTTCTTAGCATATTAAACATTTTCATTGTAGAAAATATAAGAGGTCACGTTTATAAGTTATATTGTATTCAATCTCTAAGAATAGGCAGGTAACCTTTCAAGTACACCTTTCAACCAAAGGCCTCCTTTTGTTCTGCTTGCACTTCTGACCATTGTATACTATAGAGTATATAATTATTAACCTATTGTACCTTTAGTCTTATGTTCTAATTTTGAAAGTTGGAGTATTTTGTTTTGCATAAACAAGCAATTCAATGATCTAAGACATAAACTATGGTGGTCCAAGACAAGGACGATGTCCCCTGTAGGACACCTTTCATCTAGTACCCGGGTAGTTGGCTAATGGACTAAAAACGCGTATCAAAACAATATTTAAAATTGAGACATGGCAAAGTGGCCTTATTGCATACGAAAGCATTTGATAGTTTTTTACTATTTCTAGCAAAGACTAATTAACAGATTTTCATGAAACACGATGTGTACGTAGCTTATTAAACACTAGTTCCATAAATCTTATATAAAACCGAAAGACAACTTCCGTGCCTACACATAACATAAGTATGTTCTAAGTAATTTAATAATAAGTGCCTAGAAGTGTCGACCTGTTGACTCCTTGATATGTTAATTTAGCTTTGTTTGTAAACAGCGTGTTATTACACGAATTCTTTGATATCATACTTACAATATAAATGATTGGTTTTTAATATATTTAGAAAACGACCCTTGACACTTGCCCCAGGCAAGTATTCGTGACAGACACCAGAAACATCGAATAAATTGACGTTTAAGAAATTTCAGAAGTTGCCTTTGAAGTCTCCCGAACAGTTTCTGTAGGTTTAATGTCAAACTGTCAAGTCATCTTTGGTTTCTTAGTTCTTGAATTGAGAATAGTTTTCTTTGTAAACTTTAAATAGACAAGTGAAAAAACTACTGTTACTCTTGATGGCATTACTGTACAGAGCTTTTTACAAGAAGTGGATTAGATGATGCAATCTGTGGCGTATAGACTATACAATCCGTTGGTTTGTTGTTAATAATCTAATTGTAGTTCGCGATTTAAACCGTTTAGAAGCGTTTTATTTAGTTTCAATTTCCCGTCATTGTAATAGAAAGCGAACTATAAAATATTGTATGTTTTTAAAATAAATGGGATTTTTTTTAAACTTAAGTTAACACATCCTTAATAGTTATGACATACTAGTTGTGTCAGCGAATTCGTCCGGCGTAGAATAGCTGTTTCTTCGTAGCGTTCCGATTGGAAACCCTCTAAGACGAATAATTTTCCCCGTTTCTTCCATATTTCCCGCTGTTTCTGCGCTCCTAGTCACATTAAAATGTGTTATAGCCTATAACGTTCCTCGATTTTTCAATTCAAACCAGTAATTCTCGAGATTAGCGCGTTCAAACATACAAACAAACAAACTCTTCAGCTTTATATATATATATTTCCCATTCTCGTATAATAAAACTATTCTATGTAATATCCAATTAATATAAAATTACTTAAAACGGCTGAAAACTCGTTATAAAGTGAACTAGCCTACGTTTGCGGAACGGAAGTTATTAGCTAGGTCGTTGACCCCGCCCGCCTAGAAGCGATGCGCCCAAAGAACGATTATGTTGTACACTTTTACAGCTTAATGCGTTTACTTTATAATCACCATTAAACCAATGTTTATTGTACAGTTTACAAATAACGATATAATATTAGAAAAAAATTGTCCAAGCTTATATATGTAAAATATAAGTCCTAAAACTGCCTCTAAAAGTACCTAACTTATGAATTGTAAAATCTATTTCAGGTTAAAAAATATACGATAACACTGTCGGGATTAATCCCTACATCTCTGTAGTTTACCCGAGTAGTACTCACTTAAATAAAACCCTTTTAACGGTTTAAAACGCGAAATGTATTAACATAAATTATTAATTTATATACGGCCAGACGTTTCCGATTCCTTGCAGCAGCCGTGTTCCCGGGGAGACAGGCGTCGGGTCGTAGTTAAAATAATTTTCAAATAATTTAAAGTTTTTTATTTAAATAGGTAATACATAGCGTTTAAACCATTGAGTGATTTATTTAAATAATAAGCGGAAGTTTTAAACCGCTAAACGTGGTTAATTTAAAAGCAAAGATGTAAAATACAGTCTGACAGCTACGTCGAAAATTCTAGAGTCTATAGCTAGTGTTTCTAACTTAAAGTCAGCGAAACAGCCCAACTTCCGTTTTAATTGACGACCTCATCAAGTGCTTCTAGCGACCGAATTTCAATTTTAACTTTGAATACAAAGTTCGATAATAACATTACCGGGTACTTTAGGCTTACAAGTTTGTAATATGCTTGACGAAATTATTAGACAGCCTCTGGTAGTACAATATGTATTATATGTAAGTGCCAATAAATAAAATCGATAAGTGAAAATTTTACAGAGATGTGTTTGTCCAATGCCTTGGGATCGGAGGGGGGAAAGGTTTTTAATCTATAAGTATTAGTTACTTGCAATTTGCATTTTAATAAAATATTGCCAATAAGATTTGCTCCTGTCTCTACTTACGTTAGACAGTGAATTATAGCCTGTGATTTTTAGATAACTATTCTAGAATTCGGTTTCTGATTCATGTGAGTCTTTTACAGAGATGTGGCAATAATCTGTATAATTAAATAACTTGTATTTTAGTGGATAATGTTATCGGAATATGGAAATTCTGTCCGGGTCACGAACCACCGTCCACAAATAAAAAAGCCGTCAAGTTTAATCGCGTTTCGATGTCATGGATTTCCGAATATCCAAACAAAAGGTCGACATCGCACCTTCATTCTTTGTCTTTTTTAATATTTTCTACGCTTTATTGTTGATATGTCATACAGACAAATAAATTTTATTTTTTTATCACGGCACGGATATATTGTCTAAATAGGCAGATATCAAATTTCCCTTGAATCACCTTGAACGTTCGCGGTTTTACGTACTTGTAAATGATATGTTTACGTTAAGTTCACAACATATTATCAAGTTACTAAGCACGACAAGATATAATATTGTATATTTGGGTGTTTATGGAATTATGACTTCCTGTTGTAATGATACAAGAATTTATAATTTCTTTTCGATATTTAAGAAGTGTGTAGGTATGACATAGAAATGTAGCGGTTTTTTGCTGAATCTAAAAGGGTTTAGATTTCACACAAAAATTGTGTTATAAACAAAGAACGGTTACTTATAGATTAAAAATCTATTTTAGATTGACAAAAAAATGTTCGACGCCAGTTGAAGTCCCGCCCGTATAATTAAAAAAAAATCTAAAATCGATTTTTTACTGAATACAAAATCGAAGGCATTAGGACAGACGTAGTATTGATATTAAAAACGTATAGTAAACTTAGATCAAATAACTACGTAATGAACTCTAAAGCCAATAAGACAGAACATATAAACTGGATTCTCGTATTAAGAAGCTCTGAAAAGGCTTTCCAGGAAGGGTGGAGGATGGAATCTCGAGATATAAAACGTATCTAATGTATATTCCGCG